GCGTCGTATGACGAAATTCAGATGCAGTGTGAATTTAGCAATACAAGAGGTCTCTGAGCGCTCAGTGAGCGGTCGTGGTACTGAATGCACCCAATCAAACACTTTGCTGTCGCAGATGGAAAGTTATTGAAAAGTCAGCTTTATTTGTGAACAAGTAGCCAGGAGGGACGAACGTCTACGTCGGGAGCATGTTCTGTGATCACGGGTGCAACGTAACACGTGTTAGGTCGAGTACGTTTACTTGTAGAGAGAGAGAAGACGTAGTGGCTCCGCTGGCAACGCAACGAGACTTCGTCGCCGACCCGTAAGATCAGTTTAACGTTATTATCAGTCGTAATATCGAAATTCATGCTACGATGCAGGTTCCGTGTCGCCGTCTCGCGCACGGCGTCTCCGCGATCGAGTGTATATTCATGGAGCGCGATCTGCCTACGGTGACGAGATGTACACGTCGCACGCACTTTGTTAAACGGCAGCTATTCGACACGACGACGGTAACGGTGGTGATCCGGTTGCGAGTCATGATCGTGCCGCCTCGCGACGTCACCGGGGAACGTATCGCCCGATCGGCGACGCAAGCCGTTCCGTGTTCTCGCTTCCTCCTAACCTGTCCAGCCGTTGTAACTGCATGACTCGCGTGCATAACATATTGCGCCCCGATTCTCCGTGCTGCGCGGATGACGCAACGGTGTCCTCGATCGCGCGACGATCGGGTTGCGTCGATCTCGGTCCGATGAGACACGTGGCTGGCGCGTCGCGTTGAAAGCACCGTGCCGAGACGCGAACCGTGTTTTGGAGCGCGGCTTGTTTTCGTTGTGCTGGAAAGTGGAGCATGCCTCGTGCTCCGGTTCCACGTGCTAATGTAGAGCATTACCAGATGGATCGGCCTGGAAGGTGGAATTTGCTTTCCAATTGAGAGCGTTGAATCATATTTATAATTGCTTTCCATTTACATCGAAACTCAGATAATTCTCATTTGTGACATCATAACTCAGTTAAATGCACGTTTCTTTTCCTTTTCATTCTAAGTGAGATTCGACTGAGTTTTTATTTACAATCTGCACAAGCCTGAGTCTTTTGTTATCTTATATTAAAAGTGAAGTTTATAAACTTGTATCGTGTATGCGTGTGTGTGTGTGTGTGTGTGTGTTATGCGATAACTTTGTCACCAAAGTAAGTAGTGACGTCATTATCTGTAAAATACTACGACTTATTTAAAATACTATGAGTGAAATACTCACATAACTTAAGACTCGGTATTACTTGTGTAAAAATGGAAAGTAATTTATATCGCCACGTTTATATTTACTGCCACGAAAGTTAAAGTTGGCGGGAAGCGACCCTATCTATACGTCATATCCCTTTTTACCGTGGAACAAGAAATCTCTGCATTGGATTCTACATTTCAGCCCAATAAGCCGACTCCAAAACGAGAGGGTAACCACTAGGTGAAATATTGTCCCATAGATTACATGATTTCATATGATTTTATCTGATTACAAATAATTTTTTCCACTACATATGAAGTAATTTGGTAAAATATATGATTTTATTTAATATCATACAATGGTTTCTCGTTTTATATGTAATAATCGGATTATGCATAGAGATTTCATATAAATTTTATAATGATTTCAAGGACTCTGTCCCACGATTACATTAAGTGGTTACCTCCTCGCTCCAAAAATCTCGAGGCAAAGTATTGAGATGCATTATACAACCGGTTAATATTTTCTTTTTTTCTGTTTGTGCACAGATTGTAGCAGCATTAGCAGAATACACGGATTACGTAACGTACACAAAATTGTACAGCGACAAAAGTTGTGCAGCCAAGACCCCAACCATTCACGCCCGAAACATAGATCTTGAGAAATTCAAGCGTTGCAACGGTGCAGAAGGGCTCTATGTGCTCCACCGTGACTTGGGCGAATGGTACTTTAGTTTCCAAGAGCTTGCTACTGTGGTATCGCGAGAGGTGCGTCCAGGTGGCCTGTAATCCGGGTGTGCATCAGCGACAAAATGCTCAACGAGATCAAGGCGGCGGTACTGTTCTTAGTAAATCTGATCGAAAAAAGCGAAAAATTTAGTCCCGATCAATTGGAATGCTTCAAGCGGCACCTGGTCCAACTGCTGACGGAACGCTTCAAAAATCACTGGTTCCCCGACAAACCGTTCAAAGGCCAAGGCTACCGTTGCATTCGCGTCAATGGCCACAATCGTCGGGACGCAACCCTGGAAAGTGCCGCGAACGCCGCTGGTGTCAAGTATGAGGACCTGGCATTGCCGGTGGAATTGACGCTGTGGGTTGATCCCAACGAAGTTTGCTGTCGATTTGGTGAGAGCAAGGGGTCGTACTGTACGCTGGCATCATTCGATGACAAAGAAAACACCGTACCCATTTTCCAAGCCGAACATAATGAGAACATAGAGAACGAGAATAAGCCAGCCCACGTGGGGTCTATCAAAATACAGGTGAGTATTGATACATTAAAACAGATTGAATTTACAACGTTTATGCGGTAAATATAAATCTAAATTTAATAGAGTAAACGAAAGAATTTTTATAAATGTGTATTCAGAAAAAATTATTGTTTCAAAAATATTTAGTTTATCAATTTATAAATTATCTTATTCCTTATTCGTTACATATTTTTTCAATTGTGCAAAATGTTTGCAAAATAAGTAATTTATAAAACATCCGTCTAATTTACTTATCATATATTGATATGCTAAATAGGTTGCATATAAAACTATCAAACATTACAAATTGAATTGATTTACAAATTGAAGAATTAAAATTATTAGTTTGTGAAATAATTATACTGCTTTACAAATTTTGAATAATTTTTAATATGTATGAAAAGGAAACAATTTTTTTAACGTATTTTAAGATGCTGAGTTTGAATCTGTCGCCAGAAAAATTATATTAGGTCGAATTTTTAAGATATAGCATATCATTTTTAAGATGTAACATATCAATTTTTAAACTATAGTATTTCTTTTTGAATAATTTAAGTGCGACAAGTGATGAGCAAGGCAAGTGAAACAATCCAAAGTCATATAAAAAACAAAAATTATACGTTCAATTCTTTCGATTTTAATAAAACTTTACTATATCTATTGGAAAATGTCGTTTATATCTCAGAAACCTGATGTAATGAAAATATTTCTATGGCAGATTCGAGTTCAACATCGGAAATTATCCTAAAAATAGTCTTTATGTGTTCTTGCATAAATCTTACAAAAAAACTAGTGTTATTAATTATATTTGCTATTTATCGCTTTATATCTTCATTGTTTTTTTGTGTCCAATCAAACTCTATATTCGATGTAATATCTCTAAAATATATAAAATAATTTCGATGTATTATAATTTCAGAAATCCCCTCTAACCGCAAGTACAGAACAACAACAACCGAAATCAAAACCATTAAGCATCGCTAATCAAAATCAACAGCATAGCAATAACGGTACAGGTAAGAGGCGCAACTTGAACAGTCCTAGGTTGCACCTGAACAGAAATCGTTCGTGGTTTGGCCATTCCTTCAGTATGGGTTACGGCCCTCATCCAATCAACCAGCCATGGTACAATATAATGCCCCCGCATTTCCTCGGTGGTCCTTCTCCGCCACCCTTTATGGGACACCGAGGGAACAAGTGGGTACATCAACCCTCTTATCCCGCAGGACCCGCCCGTTTTCACCATTGGTCTCCCAAAGCTGCTCTTAAGGTATAAAGAGAATCGTTTTAAGAAAATAGTTAAGAAACCTGTTTCTCTTCTCGAAAAAAAAACCAGAAAATTTGAATGACAAAATTTAATTGCTTGTTTTCCAGAAAATATTATTGAATTCATTATTAAAAGTATTTAAATTAAAATGTATTCATGACGACAGATGTATGCAGGTAGAGAACGTAAATGTAAATTTTTATATTGGAAACAGGTTTATTAACGCGTTTCAGTGATGAAAATTATCCATCCTGTAATTACAAATGACCTTGTTCGAACTAAGGCTTACGATTTTTTATGAGAGGTATCGCATTATTACATGTTACGTATATATAATAAAAATTGGAGTAAATGTTTAACTCCGGATGCAAGGTTGCTTGTAAAAAGGTAGACTAGTGGCAATTCAAATAGAACAGTAAACGACGCAGTATATGCGTGAAATGGAAATAGATGTCATATCATGACAAGTTATTTCTCCGATCAATTTTTGAAATAACTTAAACTTTATTCGGAATATACGCGTGATAATATATCAAAGAATTGAGAATTGAAAAAATTTGTTTATCTAATTGTCGCAAATTGATGAATTGTATATCTGCTTTGTTACATCTGTTTTGTTACATTTGTTGTTGTCAAATGCGTTATTGAATCTGTATAATTGAATTGGCAACGCCATTTATTTAAGCGTTAATAGTTTATAATAGGGCAGAATGGGAATAATTTCAAAAGTTTTGAGACTTGATATAATTATTTACGATATAAAATAAAGTAAGTTTATTATTTTAGGTCCTTTATCAATGAACTCTCTGAACTGGTGTACATCGGTGCAATAAGTTAAAGTGTAATAAATATAGTTTGTTCCACTTTAACTATTGCATCGTGAGCGTCATCAATTCAAAGAGTTTTTCAATAAAGAACACAGGCCTTTTGCGGCAAACGTTGCATACGATGATAAATTCATGTTTACTAACAAAGGCCGTAGCTTCACGTATTTCTTAAACGATTTATCTGAGTTTCCTCCAATAAACCTTTCGAAGGTGATGCAGAATGGTCCACACGTTATGCGTACAACTGTATAGTATATTTAAAAAAAAACCATGATTAAAACATTTTTATTTTACTCACACAACATCGAAAAGATATTTTTGTAATAAATAATATGTCGTATGTGTGCGTGTGTGAGGCACAGAAAAGTTTTATTTTACACCAAAAGGAATGAAAGTCTCGACATGAAGTCTCAAAACTTTCGAAATTAATTCTGTTATTTGTCCCATTATAGTTTAATTTAAACTGGATATAAATAACCGGTTTTGTTCCGATATGACTAATATTTGCTCTATAGTAGATTTTATTTACATATTATTAGCTATACATTGTAAAGAACTGAATGACGTGTTAAAAAGTTACCTTTTATTTCGTGTGTGTGTATATATTATTACAGTCGATTGTGATTGCGTGATAAACGTGATTTCGGTAGAATCTTGATTTCTATTCTGATTTGGATAAATTTGATTATATATATATTTTATTATTATATCGTCTAACAAGGTGTAAGAACAAATTCGTTCTACCCTCTCGTACAAGGGTAGAGTCGCGAATGCATTCTATTAATTTTCATGCTTGGAGAAAAACAATTCACATTTACTATTTAAAAATACTGCCGCTATTGAGATTTTTATCAATGATCAATGCTGTTGTTGGATCAACGAAGCGACGCTGACACTAAAATTAATCGCGCTGCCATGTGCAAACGTTTAGACAAATTGTTGTTGTCACGTTTGACACGAATAAGTGTGTCTCAAATTTATTCTTATGAATCATATGCTATTTTTAACTTTAATGTTTTTGCGTATATTCGTTGTTTGTGTATATTCAGCTTCTTATTAGGAATTAACGCGCATTCTCAACAAAGTGTAATATCAATGAATAGTATATCAATTTCGTATCGATGTACATTCGGCTTTTTATATATGTATATTATTAGAGAATTTATGAGACATCAATAATATATATTTACTCATACATATGTTGGCTTTATATACATAATATACGTACGTATTTTTTGTTTTTATTATGGGTGTGTTATGTTTATATATACTATATATATATATATATATATATACACTGTGCGTGAATATGTTAGTGACAAGTGTCAATGTCGAAAAATGTAATTCTTAGTTGTGATTTATTTTGTAAGATCAATTGTTTCTTCGAGACAGTATATAAATTCTGAACATTTAACTTAATTTCACGATAGCTAGTCAAGTTTACTGCGTAATTAATGATCTAATTTCTACATAACAGATAGAGAAGTTTTTATATATATTTTGAATTATAATTAATACATAGGCAGTAGTATAGAAATATACAATTTATTACGTATTTTGTCTGATAAGTTTTCATACGCTTATGTTTATATTATACATTTAGAAGAGCCAAATTCAAACTCTTAATAAAAATATTTTTTGATAATGTTGTTTATTTTTTATAGAATTTGAAACGGAAATTACATAATGCAAAACTTGTTAAAAATTAGATCTGTAACGTATCTTGTAAAATTATCTTAACTCGTTAACTTTTCGATTTTTGGATATTCTATTTGAAATTCCGAGAATTCGACCGATCTGGTCCGAGATGTGCAATTAATATCGTGCAATATTTGTTGTACAATGAATAAAAGTGAATCTTCTCGAAGGAACAATTTGTATTACGTGAAAAAACGACATTGCGAATGTGTTTATAATTTCGAGATAAAAATCTCTGAGAAGCACGAGGTGCATTCCTACTACGCACTAACTGATAACAGGATTAACACACTTAAATAATCGTTTCGATAACACGATAGAATCATGGGGATTGGAGAGTATGTTATATTTAATATCGCATGGTAGAGAGAAAAAATATAGCCCGATATATGCGGACTGGTATATCACTGTTGCCGGATACGCGAATGACGAAGATTAATCTAGATGCGTATCGTAAAAAAATAAACTACGTTAGATGACATTTTAATCAAGGAATAGAATGACTCGTCGTAATATCTTCTCGCGGCCTTGTTTCGCGTAACGGAAGGAGCCGCAATTTCATTTCGCCTCCATTTTGAGACAATGATTGCTAGCGTTCAGCAAAGTGAATTGGTTTTCTTTTCGACGAATAAATTACAATATAGCCAACCTTTTTGCTTACGTGAATTAATTCTAACGTCAGATAAATTCATTAATATTATATTAGAAAAACTACATTTAACAATATATTGGTCTCGAGATAATTTTTATTATATAAAAATTTTTTTTATATAATAGAGATAAAATCGAGATGGTTTTTATACGATGAAACGGTGTCTCCGTTACGATGAAGAAAAGCCGGTGTGAACCAGGTCGTCCCGTATGTAGCGCAATTCTGCAACTTTCACAGTTTTACAGTTAGCACCGCTAAATGCATACAATCTGCCCTAGTGTAGGAACTTTGTGTTCAATTTGTTAAAACCTTATTCAGAGAAGTTATGTTGTTGTTACGTAGGAATATGGAAAGTCTATATAAATATCATATATACATATAAATAAATATATTACGGCATATATATATGTAGATTAAGCAATATTGCATTCGGACATATTCTTTTATTAATATTCTTACATAATACATATATATAATATATACACGTATATATATATGTGCATACGTACGTATACATGCGTGTAAACGTGCGACATACACACATATATATGTGCACACATGCACATTTATACGCGCATAAAAGTATATATATGTATATATCAATGAGGGAAGGAGAGGCGCTCAACATTTGAAATGTTCCAAACTTTCTAACTGTGTTCACACGTAAGAAGAAACCGAATGCGACAACAACGTACCTTTTCTTAATGATAAGTAGGTAGTCAATTATTTTATACGAGCTAGACACATACAGACGCGCATATTGCGTGTCTTGTGTAATCAAACGGTAAAACGCAGTAGACAGACGTACTCGCGTAAAAAAAAAACCTTTGTAATAGAAAATTTGGAATGCGATGTGCGTGAGATGATCAGAACGAATATTAGTACGATAGGCAGATCAACGGTTTGCGATCCACGAAATCACTTTGTACTTATCCTACTTTCGCTGGACGTTTTAGCACTTTGAATCAAGCGGCTCTATTTTGCGTTTTATTTTCGGCTCGGTTTATCAGGCTTGTGCATCTAAATGGGACTCTGCATTCATATGATGTAGTATTGAAAGAGGAAAGTCGATAAAACGAATAATAGATTATAAAAGGATCTCGGTCGCGAGGCGCGAGTCGAATTGATGCCACGTGTCGCGCGATCGGTGGATTCAAAGTGTTAAATCGCATTATAGGAGAGCACGAGTATCGGTGCCTTTTTCCCTTGGGAAAAAAAAAAAATAGATTTACGTGACTTCGTTGATTTGTATACCACGTTATTTCGTCGTGCGTTTACTCACGCAGGCGAGATCGTATTTCACATTTTCCATGACACGCAGAGTTCTCCACTAACGAGACATTGATGAGACAACCGACCGGATGTTTACCGGATGTTTACCGGATTGTCGCGTATTTAAGAACGTATTAATGTTTGGATCATTTCGATTGTAGGGTATAAAGCACCCATATAAACATATACATATATATATTTCTCCTCTAATGCTGTGTCATACATTGTAGGGATATTTCTTCTTGCATAGCTATTGCGATGATACTGGACGAATATCGAGAGAAACGGTCCGATTTTCTTCTAATATAACTTCGAGATAAAGTAGTAAACTATAAAAATGTGTCGATTGTCCATTTAAATCGGAACGAGTCAATGCATTCTGAAGAATTTAAGATAATTTATTATATTTTAATAAGATTTTTATATTTTAAAGATTTTACTGATCCGCGAAAAATTATATTAACATCACGGAAGAAATTCTGTTAACTTAATTTGTAAATAGTAAAAAAAACGCAATTTTGTAACGTTTAGTAAATCTGAACAGAGGTGAAGGACGTACATTTATTTGTAGAAGGTTAAAAAATTTTTTGCTAATACTGCACAGTTATATTTAAAAGGACAAATTTTAT